ATTGTGCCACTGAAGGCCGGATTCCTAAAAGGGTTGACCCATCCCTATTTGTTCTACACTTTTCTCGCTTCCTTTTTGAAGCACATAGGCTTTTAACTCTAATGGCAACTAGTGATCGGCGATTTCAACCTCAACTCCAGTGGTTCCCTATTGAAAAATGAACACCTATGCTCTAAAAGTTGCGGCTGTTTTTGTGAGGTGAAATGTCTGTGGACGCTGGCCACGTTATCTCAGTAAATCAATTATTGATCGAAATGTGTGCCAAACATCATAAACAGATATAATTTATTTTGCTACAAAGCAATCAACGACGCCAGATCGCCATCGGGGAGTGTTCAGTGTAGGATGAAGAAGAGACGGTGAAGCAGAAGTGATGTCGAGTAGGCGGTTGGTGACTTGTGTACGTTCCAATCCGTAACAATGAGATATCGTAGTCGTTGATGGTGGCGACGGCTTTATCTACACAAAGTAGTAGGGTTGTTGGTCGAACAGCGCTCGATAGTCGTACGCGGATCGCTTGCCGAAACGTAGCGGACCTGATGGGCCACGTCGTTTACCAAAGCGTAATGGACCTTGTGGACCGCCTTTTTTCAGATCTGAAATTGATTTGAATATATTTCTGGTTCAGAATAGTCTTTTCCCACTGAAAGGGCCCAACAACATTAGATTATACCCATAGAATCTTGAAAATGAAGTTGTTTCTAAATTGGAAGTAGCGCGTTATCTAAAGATCCGTGAATAGAACCAAAGCAGTCTAACTACGTTTTCCACTTCACGGCAGTACGATCGATGATTCAGTAGGCACGACCAGGAGATTACGCTTGCGAACACAAAGCTCAACTCAATGTTTGTTGCAGTCAGAAACCGTGGGAGAGAATTACGCATTCAAATCTCTCCGCAATGTTGGAACAAAGTGAATGCGCGGCTGATCTTAACGGGTCTAAACCCTATTCATTTCCTCGCGCTATTTCTTTTGAATACGAAATTCCAATCGGAAAATCTCATATCCATACGTATACACCCCTAAACTATGCTTACTTGCAGTACCACTTTACACTGAAACAGCTAACTCTTAGCTATCATGAACCCCCCCCCACCCGCCGCACCCTTGCTGAAAGTGAGTCACTAAGTCAAGCGCTTCAAAGTGAGCTTGGTGACCGGCCGTCCAAGTCGGCTTATCTGTGAACTGATTCTGAGTCTGATAATTTCACTGACGGCGTTAATGCGCTCAATTTCTAGGACAACGGGGCTGAGGAAGTAGAGCGACCAGAAGAAGCACGAATCTTTCACTTCGTCCTTCTTGTAAATGACCCATTGAAAGGATCATGGCCTACATTCCACCGAGGCTATTTCGTAATGGCTCATTCGCCTCGGTTGGACGGGCGCGAGCTCACAATCAATTTATAGCGGACTGAACAGATCTCGAGTCGAATGACTCTGTAAGAATGAGCGCCTGTTTCCTCCAAACGTTCCCCTCTCCTGCTTAGCCCTAAGCGCCTTCCCGCCTGTCTGAATGTCCCTACCCCCACACCTCCCCCTCCCCCACGTACCATGAGCGACTGTTGTAACAGATCCAAGATCGCGAGGCTGTTGCCACTTTTCAAGCCTGCTGCATCAGCTGGCATCACACCACAGTACCAGCTGGTTGAGAAAGATTCTTGGGATTTATGAAGATGATTTCGCTTGTCATCTGGGTAGGTAGAAATGGCTTACCCATTGCCTACGAAATTTTTGATGAATACGAAGACATGGCGCATCCAAAAATGTTGGTTCGGGGTTCTACTTTCAGTCTACCTTTCATCCAAGTTTCAATCTACTAAACTTTGCTGCTACAAAAAATTGTATCCGTCGAAGGGAGAAAATAGAGCAGAGACTAAATATTTCCCACAATCAGCTTTTGTGTGGGCAGCGCACTTGCTCCACCCGTCATGCTCACCGAACTTTCATTTCATGAGGTCCCAAAAGATAGGTTTAATTTATCCCTTGGTGGGATAAAAAGAACTAGATAGGTAGTGGCAATCTGTGAGAATCCGTGTAAAACCGAGTAAATACTTAAATATTCCCGATATTTTAGATGAAAACTGAGTGGATAGCGTGTCCCCGCGTTGGTCTTTACTATCTAATGCTTGGGTTGTTGTGTACGGAAACATGCTCCGTAACAAGCATTACACATGAAGAAACCATAGACGTTTCTCGAGTCTCCAAGAGCTCATCCAAAAGATCGTTGAATGGGGTCTCTACGACAATGCCTTCGGCAATAGCCTTGAGCGATTTGTATGGTTTCCGTTTGGCAAATGAGCAGATTTATGGGACGAATAGACCGCGTTTCCGTGGCTTTTCACGTCTCGGCGACGGACCCTTAAAACCTTTCTGAAAGTGATTGATGTCGTGAACAGTCGGAAAAAGGTTTACTTCCACCGTAGCCACAAAGTGAACCAGAAAAACGCATTGAATAATTCACTCAGCCACTCAAGTGAAAGAGCAAATCGGAAAAAGTACCTTTTAGAGAAGATTTAGAGGAAAATTCACTTACACGGATTAAAGTACTTCGAGTCGTCGACGGCCTCTTCGATTTCTGAAACAAACGAAATCATCATGAAGAAGGCAAGTCATTCAGAACTCAAAAGAACAGAATATGGAGGAAAATCAATATAAATTGAGTACAAGTCTAAAAACGGTGTTTAAGTAGGAAATCCATTAAATAAGCTGTACGGGAGATTTTCCTTGGACTCAAACGCTCTTCACATTTCCTCCGCGTCCGGGCAAAAACTCTATTCCAGCTATAAAGGAAGCAGGGCTGTATGCTTGATAAGTGACTTTTTTATTTTGTGTCCGTACTTAGCGAGTCACCGGTCGGCTAATCCTGCTCGTAGTGCCGCTGCCTGCTTCCGTTGCACATAACCCTCCACTTTATGTGAATCCGTTTTGCCTGTTCCTGCTTTTCAGCAAGAGACTCTGCAGCTGTAGCCTTCAGCTGCGGGGACTAGGACCGTAGCCATAAAATTGGACCTTCTTTTGTAAATGACTGATACAATTAGATCCATTATAACCAGAAAACCGCATGTTTTCACGCTCAGTCCGTTGCAGCTAACGATTTCATAGTTGTGTTCCATCAAAAGGTGGACCTGGTGTGCAGAAAGTAGCAGCATTTACCACCTTATAATCTGGAGCCAAATCATGGATTGAGTCCCCTTCAATCCATCGATTCTTATATTCTTGGGCGCCTGTTAATTGGCACCTGATTCGATTGGGACGGTTACAAGAGCTACCTAAACTTTGGCTGAGGCTCAGAAATTCCTCTAATGGACAAATCGCCTTGAAGTGCCAT